CTCTAGATGAATGGCAATGGATCCCCAAGCCTGCAACAGTTATCTTATCTGCAGATTGGTGGTTTGTCTTTTGCCCGATTTTTATCATCCTGCACGTTTTCCCGTTCACCTTCAGTGCACCTGGAATGCTCAGTTGCCTCCTTTCTCTCCGTCCCCTGATGGTGAGGTCCAGCAGCCTGATGCCATCCGAGGATCAGCCGTCACCAAGGCAGAGCAAGGTGCTGCCTTCATAGTTACCCTGTTGGTAGGTCCTGCCCTACAATCCTACATTAAGGACTATATAATCAACGGACAACGGGACCGAGCACCCTACCAGACAGAGAGAGGTCCTAGATTCAGGACCTAGCCAATCTAATAAACCTCCTACTGGCGAACACCTGTCAATCCCTCAAAAGGGCTCACAATTAGACATTATACTGCAATGCTCACCTTTGGATGCCCTCATTAACAAACCATCAACAAGCGCTGCCCTAGCCTTCAATCCCGTTTGGTGCCCATCGGCAGCAATGGGGAATTCCCTTTCACCTCTCCCATCATATCTAGTGCGGTCTCGAGGCATAGTGGAAAAGGAATCAAGCATTGGGGTTCAGCTACTCGGTTAGATCTTCCCGATATCAACTCTGCTTCGTGGGGTTGACGTGGATGCCACCCTGGCTCGCTGCGGGATCGAGGAGAACAAGGATAAGCTGCTATGCATGACGAAGTAATAGCCGAGACCTCCAAGGGCAACAAGGAACCCCCCCACCGTGAGGACGACAATCACAACCGTGTTACTTTTTGATCCTGAACCCTTCTTGGGACTCGGTGGAGGTGCAGGCCGTGCCAGGCAGTCGCCGCAGCAACGCAAGACGTCATCAGACACCTTGGGCTGTTTCTCAGCACAAACAACATTCTCCTTTTTCAGAGACACCGAGACTCCCGGGCACAAGTCTGGTATTCCATCCATATCCGACAGGGGGTCGGATACCGTTCCGAAGGTCACATTTAATGCGTCCCCTATTGCAGTGGGGTAACTGATCTTGACGTTGCTGGTCATGGTATCGGTTATGTTTTTCAGCGCATCCTTATCAGAAGGCTCGAGCTTTACCGTCATGTCCATGCCTGAGGCTCCAATCAAATTCCCGTTCCCATCAAACACTGGCATCGACATAGTGTTGACATCACCTAATTCTCCAAAGTCCTCATACTTTGCAACCCACTTGGGATCCGACGGCTGCAACTTGGCCAGGAAATTGAAGTAGGAGTAAATACTCCCAAGAGGATCGACCGTGCCTCCACGCGTACCCATGTTCTTTGCAAAGCCGTTGACGCTCTTGGCAATTTGTTGAATATTGCCATAATCGACGGGGCTTTTAACCTCCACGCCGTAAAGAAAGACCCTCACGCCGGACTTGACTTGAGTCGTGGAATTGTATTGAAGGATGGCATCCACAGTTGTACTGACATTACCACCATTGACCGCGGACAGTGTCCCTAAAGTGAACACCAAAAGCACTTCTTGAAGAACATCAGCGTCACCGGGCTTTGGGGCAGCCCTGAGAACGTTCAGCCCTTTCATAATACCGTCTCTCAAGTCCGAAGATGCCGCTCCCATTGCACTCGTGTTCAAGTTGAGTAGCTTGCTTTGTGTGGCTGTCGCTTGCGATCCTAAAACAATTTCCAGAGATGTGTCGGTATCGTTTGTTGCTGAGGAATATGTCACTAATGCAACCTCGTCATCACGACGGAGTGAACCAAGGAGAGCAAACACGGTGCTATTAACCATCTGAAATCGATTCCGTCCATTCTGTGAAGAAAGCGGAATGAACATCTCCGCCGCAAGATCAAGAACAATCACAACCCTTTTCCGGGGGGAGGTCGCTTCTGCAAACCACGGCCGCTTCCTCGGATCGTAGTCAACACACGCATCTTGCTTTCCAGGAAAGGACAAAAAGAATCCGGTGAAAGATCCATAGTAGATCCAACCGATGCTGAGAAAATCGTCCCTTCGCACCTTCTTGCTAAGTGTCGCAGACAGTGTCTGCTGCACACACATCGCATCATAAGCCTGAACTGTTTCTGTAAAAGGCAGCCTCGCAAACCCTTCCTCGTACGACAGCAAAGTTTGGGTGCATGCATCTGGACTTCCGCAAGTTCCACTGTCAAATCGGAAATTTCCCTCGCAGGTAAAGGATTCATTGCCAGTGTATCCACAAACCATCCTCACACACGTCCCCTGACCCAGCCTGCAATTATCCAGCCGAGGGCAGGAATCCGCTTCATTCTTCTTTGCCTCATCACCTACAGATCTGACCAATGCCGTCATATTCTTCACAAGCTCCTGAACATTCGCTGCATCCACAAAGACAGCAGGCGATGAAAGCCAACGCATGCCGAATGGCACCATCTTGTCTGACGGAGGCACAGCCATTAAATGGAGGAGCAGGAGAGCAATGACCACACGGAGTGACCAGCCCCGCATCTCCATCCAGATTCGTCTAGGACTCGCATAATGAACCACTTCCCAGATTGCCATAGTGAGAGCCTGTGTGTGTGAATCCTTTCGTGGCTGCCAATTAGCGCTCTTTCTGCAGGTCTAGGTCGCAATTCCGGCTGGCCCTCACGAGCCTTACGTAAGATCGGAAACGTGGCTGAAGCAGACAGACGCCCCTCACACCACACTACAACTTACAGCACACACATTTCCGCTCGCTTGCTCTCTCCCTCCCTCTCTCCATCTCTTCGCGTGCTGGCAATGGGACACAAACACGCGCACCAACTCCGCCATGTACTTGCCATGGAACGACCTACATCATAACTCTTGGTCTCGCGGCAAAGGAGGGACATCTGCTGACCATGCTGGACCAGTTCATTTCTGCCAAAGTCAGGATAGGGGGGCGCAGGGTGCACGTCAGCAAAAGCCAACAGAGAAGTGCAGACTGAGTCTGTTCCTGTCCAGAGAGTCAAAGTCAAAGCGGTATTGACCTGGATATTCCCGGCCGACACCTTGCTGTCGTTAGGCTGAGTGAGATACAACACTACACACATCTGTAAATGCTGACTGATGAGTTGAGAGTCCAAAGTTTAAACCCTTTGATGTACAAGAACATTGTAGATTCACACACTCTTTTTTTTGTTCTCTACTTCAGAAGAAAGGGCTGGGAAGGGCAGGAGTGGGGACAGAGGAGAACATGGAGGAGAGAGGCGCAGGGCAGGGATTGAAAATTCCACTCTACATCATAAAAGCATTTGAAGCCACAGGTAAGGAGTTGAGATCGGCTTTCGCACCTTTCTAGGGCCAGTCCTTTCGGTCTCAAGGTCGGGTCGGCAGTCACTAGTCATAGACAAAGCAAGCAAAGACCACCCATTCATGAAGAAAGCACAGCCACACTCTCAGAGTTCGACCTCAGCCATTCATCGATAACTTCATCCCATACACACCTCTTCAAAACCCTAGGTCGTCTTCAGCCGAATAGAACGCCCGGTCATTATTGCTGCATCTTAACTGCGAGTTAGTCCGAATACAGGTATAATGACGGGGCGTTCTATTCCGGTTAAGACGGTAGGCCGTCCACCCACGTTAGCACTGTCGTAAACCACCAGTGTGTTGCCCCGGTATTTTGTTCCAACATGGCGGTTAAGACATCGGTCCTACCGACGGACAAGCCTTTCCGTGCCACGCAAATCACACGCACTGACAGTTCAGCTGGAATTGGCACACTGCAAAAGCCACACCAGGAAAAAGCGGCACTGGCGTACTGGCCGTCTAAAGCTGGCCTGACTGTACCTTGTAATTTCAAATCAATTCAGAATTACCAACCAATAGACCACCACCACCGTTAAAATTGAAAAAAAAAAAAAAAAAAAAAAAAAAACACCGTCCTCATTCCCTGTCAGCCAACAGTTGGGGGGGGGAAAAAAAAAAAAAATCAGCTTCATTCACCTAAATTCAGTCAACCACATACTCACATATTCTACACAGTCTTGATTCTCTTTTTTATGATTTTAATATCATTTTATCCATAATAATTGGCATTGCCACAGTCTCACTCCATTCACAGCAGGTTTGTTTTCCAAGCATGCCGCAATTCCAAAGCAGAACGTCATCAATCGGATGTCTTTGGCATAGTAAACTTCACAGGCAGGTTCTCGATGGGCCCTCCTTGTCGTAATGAGAAGAGAAACCACCCTTGTTAAGCGGTACTTCATGCGATATGAATGTTACACCACTCAACACCTCCCTACAAGGATGCTGTGAGTGCCAGCCTCACTGGCAAAAGCCTGCGATGTTTTTTTATCATAACCTGGTTTCACAACTGTTCCAGCCTTGATCTTGACTGCCATTGCCTACAGCTCCACAATTGCATAACAGCGCTTCCAGCACTGAGGGAACTACCATCTTCCGGCGAACAAGATACGCCTATCACGACTGTATCGAACCAGAAACAGAAGAACTTGTACACATTCAAGACCAGTTTATGTTGCAGGGTATGTTCTATTCATACTCTCATCATGACCGTATCCCACCAGAAACATGACTCTCTCATAAAAGGGGATGTTGCAGGGTATGGTGCAGTGTATTACTTTGATTCATCTCGTAGATGGGAGGATTCCATCCACAGGAAAATACTCTCAAGTTTTTGTCTGTTTCCCCTACGTTAGTAGGGTTGGCGGAGGGAGAAAAAGACAGCTTCAACAAAAAGAACCAACTGGCCTAGCTCAGTTGGTACACCCCTGAACTGCTGAAATACAGACTTGACCTGAGTTCGAACCCCACTTGAAGCAGATGAGTAAAAGACTGTAATTCTGAATTACCCAGGGCCGATCAGTTCAATGATCATATCTCAAGGCCGTTTCCTTTTCCAAAAAAAAAACAAAAAAAAAGAGAGGCACTATCCACTGACGGAGAAAAAAACTGGTTCACAAATCTCAACCGGTTACCAGAAGACCACAGATCCTCTGTTATTTGTTTTTACCACCCAGCCTTCTTTTCCCCAAAGCTGAAAGAAACTGGTTCTTCCTTGTGTCTCATAAGCTATTGAATCAATATTAGTAAGAATACCTAAATGAATTTTTTTCTGCTAAAAAAAAAAAAAATCTGCTAAAGGAAAAGACATATATAAATCTATGATTCCAACGGACAGTCTACTATTGGTCAAAAACAATAAAAAAGTTCGGGCTAAACAAGTAATTGTAGAAATTCGTTCAACTATTCGTCAATCAAAAGAAGAAGTGGATTTCCTGCAATCTGCTTTTTAGTCATGCAGCTAACAAAGGTTGTGAATTCATTCTTAGCATAGCGATCGGCAACTACCGTAGGTGTCCTTAAACAGAGCCACATTCCATGCACCCCAGTTTACCCACATCGCCCACCCCGCCCCCCCGCCCCCCCCCCCTCAATGTCTGGACGATGTATGGTGGTTGTCTCAGACCCACGTAGCTGTCCTGCCGTTAGGCCTTGCAGAACCAGTACAGAATACCAAGGTAACTCTGCAGCCAAACACTCCAGTCCATTCATAACAAATTTTCAGTCCCGGATGGGTCTGATTTGTGGGCACTCCCACCACATACATGTGGGGGTTGATTTCCAAAGCACATGCTTCGCAGTGTTTGCAGTTCCCACCCACCTCCATTCCTTTTCCTCTTCACCATACTGCTATGGGGACAATCAGATGGGATTGTGGGAAGAACAGCCCCACACATTCCACTGAGAATGTTCAAGGGGTCTAACCCAGTTTGTAAGGCACACAGGTGCCATTCAGGAGACCATGGGTGCAATTCCGTAGGCCTTGCTTCAGCAATGGGAGTACTTTGTACCCTACCATCTAGAGATAGTGTCACTGGATACCCGAGTCTAGCACTAACAGCGCTATCGCGATTAGGCACAGCTACCATGCAGATGGGGCATTGGGAGTCTGATTCCCCAAGCGGAACATGGCAAGCAGTTCTTCCAGCGCTAGAGATAGCGCCACTGGATACCCCAGTCTAGCACTAGCATCGCTTTGGGTTATTAGCCACAGCTACCGTGCAGATGGGGCATTAGGGGTCACATTTCCCCAGTGGAACGGGCCAGACAGTTCTCCCAGCACCAGAGATAACGCCGCCACTGGATACCCCAGTCTAGCACTAACATCGCTTTGGGTTATTAGGCACAGCTACCATGCAGATGGRGCATTAGGGGTCACATTTCCCCAGTGGAACGGGCCAGACAGTTCTCCCAGCACCAGAGATAATGTCGCCACTGGCTACCCCAGTCTAGCACTAACATCGCTTTGGGTTATTAGGCATAGCTACCGTGCAGATGGGGCATTGGGAGTCCCATTCCCCCAGTGGAATGGGGCAGACAGTTCTACCAGCGGAGACGCCGGAGCCTGTGCGTCCCTACCGTCTTCCCCCGAACACAACGCACCCTCATTTTGGCTGTATCTGGCCCGAAATATAACTTGTATACATTAATTTTAAAGGTGCGTTATGTTCGGGAGAAGACGGTAGCAGACAAACTCACCTAACTACACACATAGCCAGCGTGGAATGGAGAGTTCCCTTCCTAACTCGCATACATAAACATCTAGGGTTTTAGAGTACCACGGAGGGCAAAGGAGCAGGGATCGGCACTGAGCAGAACTGATGGAAGGACTAGACCCCAACATACTCTAAACCCCCTCATTAGCATAGGTTCTCCGAAAGAACCGAATCTGTCGTTTCTGAACGACTAAAACAACTCGAGTTTATCGAGAGGCTTCGCTCTATGGGCCTCGCTGCACTACTCTCGAAATGTGCAAAACGAGAGTGGATCTCCCGCTAGAACATGGAAAGATACACCGCCACGATTTTTGTCTTTTGTGCCTGTCGAGAGTAGGAGAGCGAGGCCCTATGAGTCTCTGAACATAAAGAACGCGTGACAGACAAAAAGGTCGAGGCAGAGGCAGATGAGAAAGAGAAGATAAACGGAAGGGACTCGAGTATGCGACAATACAACTGGTACAAACAGGCGGCAAAGGGCAGTCGAGAAAGCCGCAAACAACAAGAGGGGTAGAGAGAGAGGAAGACAGGCAGAGAGAAAAGGGTGGACACTAGAATTCTAGCAGGCAGCAGGCCGAGCAGCCGAACGGACGCACACATTGACAGACAGAGAGAGAGTGGGGATTAAAGAGCGACCCAGCAAGCTGGACACAGAGAGAGAGAGAGATCATGAGGAGACCGGCGGATATCACGGCATACTACGAGAGAGGGAGAGAGCGAGAGAAAGAGAGGGAGAGAGGGAGAGAGGGAGAGAGGGAGAGAGCGAGAGAGAGGAAGAGAGCGAGAGGGAGAGAGCGAGTGAGAGAGGTAGAGAGAGAGAGGGAGATCATATGAACAAACCACACACAAACAAGAGTCGTCGACGGAGGTTACACACAAATGATGACAGCTATGAAACACCTAAGCTAGACACGATTGATAAACCCCGAAAGAGAGAGAAAGGGGGGGGGGAGGGGGAGAGAGAGCAAGAGAGAGAGAGAGAGATCTGGAATGAGATAATACGACAGCAACGGTTTGACGAGGCAAATGCATCCATTCCCATAAAACAAAACAGAGGAAAAATGAGATAAGGACTTAAGGCAGCATTCCCCCTACTTGTACATCTAAACCCCCCCCAACACCACCATCCCTACCTGTACATCTACACCCCAGGGAGAAGGATTGCATTGATCTTGCGTTACAGGTATTATCCCCGAATAAAACCCATGGGCATCATACTATTGACGAACGTCAATAGTAAACGAGGACTATGTGCACGGAGTAGTTCCTCCCTCATGTAGGATACAAACTGCGAGTAAAGCATTAGCTCACTAAACAAATAAAACAAATAAAACAAAACAAAAAAAAGAAAAAAAAAAGAAAGCTCTAATGGCAACGCTACCACGCAAATGGCCAACCCCCAAGACGAACAAGTCCGCTCATTTTTTTTCTTATTATATTTAAAAAAGAAAATCCCTGCCGCAAAGGTATATCATCTTTACATAAAGCTTTTTCTTGATTCTATGCGTGGTGGTCCATGGCCGTTCTGGAAACTCACCAGGTCCAGCCATAGAAAGGATTGAAAAAAAAAAAAGACATTTGCATAAGGTGACATGAAAGTGAATAACATTAACATTTTATATCACACACACACACACACACACACACACACACACACACACACACACAGAAAAGGATAATGTGATAGAGAAATGGTGACAAGGGGATTACGTATTGGAAAAGAAATCGATAGATGGAACAAGGTGAAAGAGGGGAAGGAGGCGATGCGATTCATGGAAAAAAAAAAAAAAAAAAACAGTAACGAGTGTCAAA